TTGTCCATGGGCCCATTAGGCAATGACCAGAATGGCTGGGGAAAGAGCCTGGCTGTCCATAGATCATATCTACATGGTTATTGAAATCCCCCACTTCTAATTAAGATATAACACAGGGCTGGGGAGTTAATATATCCTTGATGTAAAACTGGAAAGGCATACTGCCGGCATTGGCAACTGAAAGCAAATTGCTTCTGGTGGTCCTTATGGACAGGTACCAAGGAAAAAAGACTTTTTCTAGATCAGTAGCTGTGTATCATTTACCAGGAGATGTGTCAATTGGTTCAAGCAAGGACACCACATCTGGCACAGCAGCTGCAATTGAAATCACTACTTGATTGAGTTTTTGATAGTCAGCTGTCATTCTTTATGGTCCATCTGTCTTCTGCATTGGCCAGAAAGGAGAGTTAAAAAGAGATATGGTGGAAGCCACCTTTGCATCTTTTTGTTTTGTTTTTTGTTTGTTTTGTTTTTGAAGACAGGGTTTCTGTGTGTAACAGCCCTGGCTGTCCTGGAGCTCGATCTGTAAACCAGACTGGACTTGAACTCAAAGATTCCCCTGCCTCTGCTTCTTGAGTGCTGGGGCTGGAAGGCCTGTGTGCCACCACTTCCCAGCTTACCCCTGCATCATTCAAGTCCTTGATGGTAGCACTAATTTCTGTGGTTCCTCTAAGGAAGTGATACTATTTTTGATTCACCATTTTCCTTGGCAACTCCATTTAGCCTTTCTAACTATAATAGCTCTTACTGCACAGGACAGAAAACCACCGTGAGAATTCTGCCAGCTTCTATCTACCCCAATTTTACATTCTGGAACTGGGCAAATAACCACAGGATCAGTTTGGGGACCCACTGGAACTACTGTCAGTCAGATTTCAGCCAAAATGCCCTAAGTCACCTGATGTAAGCCCCTTCTTTAACTGGAGGGCCACAGTGTTTCTTGGGATCTCCTGGAATCAGTGTCAATTTAGCACCAATAGACCCTGGAAAGCCTGGTTGTTTCCTTTCTGCTAGTGTCAATTACCCTTGTAAAAAGTAGGTCCCTCTGGGGAAGGACTGGAGAAAGGCTAATAGTAAAACTTTTAGGTATTTTATCAAAATCCTTCCACAGGGGAACCTGGCCATCCCTTCATTCAAGGTGTTCTGGGTCTGCAAACTGGCTCAAGTCTGAAACTGGTTCACAAACCAAGATTGCCTTTTGTTGCGATCCAATGGAGCCTTTCTTTCATTTGTTTGAGAATGTTTATAGGTCAAACAAAATACACCAGGCTTCTTATCTATTTCAGGCCTGGGAATACCATGATTGATTAGCCAGTACTAAAGATCCATATGAATGAATCATGCAACCATAAAACCACTTTGCCTGTGCTGACCAGGCCAGGCTATTATGGACATTGCTTTGTCTGTGTTGCCCATTACCATAACTACAATGACCTTGCCCTTGGCAATTCAGTGCTGCCAACTGGCCCCTGTTACTTCTGGGCTTATTGCATTTAATCCACCCAACTGAGCAAAAGCATCTTCAACCCAGCAATTGTGTGGCATAAGGACAGAGCAACAGCAAAGCTCTTCAAGAGTGCTGGCGCCCCTCTCACCATTTTTTTTTAATGTGATGAGTGAAAGCCATGTCTTCTGGGCTTTCCCATTATGGAGACCAGGTTTTATACAGTGTACCTACCTACTCTAGTATTGCAATTTCCTGAGTCTTCAAATCACTTTATCAACACCAAGCCAAGAGATGCCAGGCATCTCCAGCTCCTTTTCAGTAAGCCGTCTGTTGACAAATGCTTCAGCCAATTATTCAAACAACATCTTGACCTCTTTAACTGTGCAAAGTTCCATATTAAACCTAGAATCTCCATTCATTGGGGTCCATATCAATAAGTTCAGCTTGATCTAGTTTTTAATGTCCCCCCCACCATTGTTAACCCACACCCCTACAATCCACTTGTTGTGGAGTATTTAACTAGGCAAAGATGTGTTACACTTGTTTATGCTGCAGAAGATTACTTGAACCCTGTAAAGGTGTATTACTTTCGTTTATGCCGCCTGTGTTTAATTATGTAAAGACGTGTTGCTTTTGTTTGACCTTGCCTGCCTACGTGATTGGTCTAATAAAAAGCTGAATGGTCACTGGGTAGGCAGGAGATGCTAGAAGTTGGTTAATCTTATCACAGAACCCATTCATTTCCTTGGTCAATTTATGCAAAGATTCTAAGAGCAACCAACCATCATCATCAATTTCCTTATTTTTCCACAAATTGTCAAAATTTTATATACAGACTTGTAGGGAGACACCCTAGCCCCGCCCCATGGCAACCCGGACAGGTGCCAAGTGGACCCAGGACTTGCCCATGAGGGCGGGGTAAAGGGAAGTCGGGGTGACGTAAGGGAAGGTTCTTAAGGGCTGCATGTGGAGACCCTGGCCCCTTCTACTCTCGAATTAGCTTGCTTCCCGTGAGCTTGCTCTGGCTTGCGTTTTGCTCTGGTGTTTACCTGAATAAAGAAGTCTTACCATCACGGACTACAGTTCATCTTTGAGCGCACGCGGTAACCCTTAAGACAGACTCACCAAATCTGTTGCCTCTCAGAACTGGTCAGTCAGGATAATCAAATACATTTGTCTCTTTAAGTTTGTAAAATAGTTTATACCATGGGCTTTCAGTAGTCTTTAAGCTGCTAGGAGAGGCATCAGTAACTATAGAGAGGCTTTGGTAACTATAGGTGCTGGCAAATTGGAAAGCCAGTTCCAGATACTTAAAGAATTATCCTTATACTTCTGTTGCTCTAGAACCACTTTGGGTACCAAAATCTGTATTAATCAGGGTTCTCTATAGGACAGAACTTATAGAATAAACCTATAGCTATCTATATAAATTGATAGATATAGCTATATAAAGGGGATTTTTTTTGGGGGGGTATGGTTTACAGGCTGTGGTCTAGCTAGTCCAACAATGGGTGTCTACCAATGAAAGGTCCAAGGATCCAGTAGTTGTTCAGTTCATGAGCCTGGATGTGATGTCTCAGCTGGTCTTCAGCATACACGGGAATCCTGAAGAAGGCTCTAATGCCAGTGAAGGAATGGACTTACCAGCAAGTGCAAGAGCAAGCAGGCGAAGAAAACAAGCTTCTTCTTCCATGGCCTTTATTTAGGCTGCCCGCAGGAAGCGTGGTTCAGATTAAAGGTGTATCTGCCTACCCCAAAAGATCCTGATGAAAAGTGGGTCTTTTCACTTCAAATGATTTAATTAAGAAAAAAAAAATGTCAGGGAGCTAGAGAGATGTCTCAGTGGTTAAGATCACCGGCTGCTCTTCAGAGATCCTGAGTTCAGTTCCCAGCAACCACATGGCTGCTGGCAACCATCTATGAGATCTGATGCCCTCTTCTGGCCTGCAGGTATATGTGCAGACAGAGCACTCATATATAAAAAATAAACATAAATAAAATTTTAAAATAGTTATAAAATAGGGAAAAAACCCCTCACAGGTATGTTCAGTCACTTGGGTTTTAGTTAATTACAGATGTAGTCAGGCTGACAATCAAGACAAGCCATCACATGGCACATAACCTTGCCTGTTGAAACCTTGATTTGAGCTCCCAGCCTATGGAAATGTGACAAGCACACTTGGTGATGTGTGCTCTTTTAACCCACCAAGTTCCTGGTCATTTTTTGTGGCTAGTATAGAAAACACAGAATCAGAGATTTGGGGTGAAGTGGCAATTTTCTGAGAAGGGGAAACTAGGCCATCAAATGTTGGCCTGTGAGGAAGCCTAGGGGCTGCAGGGAGAGGAGGCAGGGTGAAATAGTGGTATGGTCCCTGACTGTGCCCTACCAAATAACTCTGCCGAGCCGGTTGTCACTCTAGAGGCCATTTCCACTTCTGAGAAAGACTGTGTCCAGGGATTACAAAGAGGTTGGCTCTGGATGTGAGGACCATAGGGGCCTGTGGGAAGACAACTGCTGCTATGAGAGCTGCTCTTTGAGCAGTTCCTGGATAATGCTCTCATCTGCTTTGTGGTCTCTGATGGTGCCAGTGACTGCTGCTAACTGACAATGGAGGTCTGTAGACATACTTGCTGCCCATCCCATCAACTTCCTCTCCTCCCTCAGGATTCTGACCTCCAGGGTCTGGCATAACCTCAGGCCCAAGTTGCCTGTGGCCATGATAATTTCACTTCAAGACAACTGGCTGGCATTCCTTGTCTCTGTAGTGGCATCAGAGGAAACTCTAACAATCAAGAAAACTGACAGCTAAGTCCACCATATGACTCAGCTAGTAAAAAGGCTTCCCAAACAAGCCTGAAGACCCAAGTTTGCAAACCATAGGGGAAGGCCAGGACTCCCTAAAGCTATCCTCTGACTTCCTCATAATCTCTAACAAACACACACACACACACACACATACACACACACACACTTTTATTTTCCCAGACAGCGTTTCTCTGAATAGCCCTGGCTGTCCTGGAATTCACTCAGTAAACCAGGCTGGCCTCAGACTCAGAGATCTACGTGCTTCTGCCTCCCAAGTGCTGGGAGTAAAGTCGTGTGCCACCATCACCACCACTCAGCACAAATAACATTTTTAAAAAGGAAAAAAAAAGTGACAACCTAAAGAAGATTAACATCTACATGACACACATGAGCCTTAAACCAGGCCTTTGAAAAATACTTCCAAGGCGAAGGACTAGCAACTAGACACTAGTGTTGTCTCTGGAGCTCAGGAGAGAGCAGGACAGGGACAGATCATTTCCCTATGGCTTAGATATCCCAGAGACAAAGCCCATACTAGTGCAATCCTCTAGGACACAAACTCTTGGGAGAGTGGGACAGCCTAGAGAACCTGCCCAGCAAAGGGGACTCTCTACCAGGGCCACATGGATACACTTTACTGACAAAGGGTGAATGCTTTAAATGGACATTACCAGGGTTGGATGCAGGAAATGTGTCCGTGATTGAGCATCCAACATCTGACAGATCAATGACAGCACACCAGAGGCAACTAATTCCAAAGTTCTTTATTTAATTCAACTGGAGCATTTGATGGCAACCAAATCCCCACATTCAAATGTCTTACAAACAGGGAGCAGCTCTCAGTGACCCTGCATAAGGCAACTGCCTCCCCTGGTCTCCTGGCTGAAGCAGCAAATCTGAACTTCTATTTAAGTCAGGACTGCTATAGCCTGGGACACTGGCACTCAGCCTCAGGATCAGCCACTTCTGCCCTAGGTCCCTCAGAATGTCTGAAAGGCAGAGACAGGTGAACCGAGGGGGGTGAGGAGGACCCTGACAGCTCTACAGGAGTCTCCCTCCTTTCTTTCTGTAGCCTCCCTTCCCCTCATCCAGGAGCTAGGGACCTGCAGGGACTGGCCACCAAGGGTTGCCATGCAAGCCACTCATAGAAAGAACAGGGAAGGCATACCTGGGCTGTCTGCACATCATCTGACACTTGGGGAGGGAGTGGTAGACTTAGGAATGGCAGCCCACCCTCCACAGGTCCCTGGTTAGTGTTGTTGGTCACCAAGGCCTCCACACACACTGGGCCAGGCGAGCTCCGGTCAGGCTGCCTAAGGATGTAGGTACCAAATCCGGCCCCTCAGCAGACACCCGATTTAGTTCAGCCTCCGGGACCTCTTCTAGGTCAGAACACAGGTCGTCCCCGGGGCCTGGGGGGCTGGACAATGGGGACCCTGGAATCCCTCCGGGAGACCAGTTGTTCCTCCCAGGGCCTCCAGGCAGCCCAGCTAGGGAGTCCCCCAGCAGATCCCGGAAGCTGCTACCCTCGCGCAGCGGCATGGACTCTAGCAGGTGGTTCAGGAGTTCAGCTGAAACGGTGGCGTCGATGGCTTGACACGTGGACACGAACGTGTGTACCTCATGCATGCAATGGATGTAGCCAGCAGCGAAGCGCTCGCTCGCTTCGGCCTGCAGCTGCTCCCGCTCTGTGCAGGAGGGTGGGAAGAAGAAAGCAGCGTCCCGCACCGTGAGCAGTGACTACTATGGCTTGGACGATCGGCTCCGCGGTTTCGGGACTCACCCAGGAGACAAACTATCGTGTCCCGCTCTGGGCGGGGGAGCCCTCGCCGT